AGACCAACAGTAGGGATCTCATCTTTTTTTTTTTTTGTCTTTTTCATTTTTATCGGTACCAGGGATCGAACTCACGACTGCCTGCTTACAAAGCAGGCGTTCATGCCGCTGAGCTAAATCCCCAGCCCCAGGATCTCATCTTATTAAAGGGATTTACACAGCAAAAGAAGTCATCAACAGAGTGAAGAGACAACTCACAAAGGGAGGAAAAATTTTAACCAAAAGACTAGTATCTAAAACATATAAAGAAATAAAAATAATCAGATGCCCCAACTTTTAAAGACTCAACCCAAAAATGGGCATGTGAGAGGAATACTTATTTTTCAGATGAGGAAGTATAAACAGCAAATATGTGAAAAAATGTTCAATGTCACTGGTCATTTGAGAGATACAAATTAAAATGACACTGAGATTCCACCTCCAGGAAGAATGGTACCAAGAAATGAGCCAATAATGAATATTGGCAGGACTATGGGGAAAAAAGAATTCTTCTCCACTGTTGGCAGGAGTGCAGACTGGTGCAACCACTGTGGAAATCTGTGGGGATTTCCTCAAAAATTCAGGACTAGAGGTCCTATTTGACCCAGCTATTCTCCTTGGTATCTTCCCAAAAGAATTCAGAGCATCCACTACAGCAATATATGCTTACCCATGTTATAGCAGTACAATTTGTAAGAACTAAATCTTGGAAACAACTCAAATGCCCATTAACCAAAGAATGGTTAAAAACTTTGGGGTTTTTAAAAAAATGGAATACCAAAGTGCCATATAAAGGATACACTTGAGAGATTTATAGCTAAATGGATGTACCTAGAGATCATACTTTTAAGTGATAGAAGTTGGACACCCATATATATATATATATATATATATACATATATATATGTATATATGTATATATATATATATATATTTTTTTTTTTTTTTTTTTTGTCTTTTTCCTTTTATCAGTACCGGGGATCAAACTCATGACTACCTGCTTGCAAGGAAGGTGCTTATGCTACTGAGCTAAATCCCCAGCCCCAACCTAAATCCCCAGCCCCTGTTTTCTATATTTAAATGTATGTTCTGAATCTCTGCAACTGTACTAATGTTATAGATGCTAACTGCATGTGCCCATCAAAACCTAAATTAATAAAATTTCAAGAGTAATATAGAAAGAACTCGTTCTAGAATTTGTTCTAGAAGAACCAGCTCCTTCTAAAAGTGGCTTGCCAATACTCGATTTGAGATTGCTTACTTCTGGAATTGTATTCAAAGTTCTTCTCATCTCACATAAAGACTTACACAAAACAAGCAAAAAACAGTGGTAAGGTTTTTTTTAAACAGGTAAAAGTAAAACATGAATGTTGTATTTTATTAGATTTTATGTGTGATAGTATAAATAAATTTTTTATGGACAGTGAGATTAATATAGTAGCCATTGTTCATTTTCTGTTATTTGGCTCGGAATGCTCTGTAATACTTTCTCTTTTTTTTTTGTCTTTTTCATTTTTTATCGGTACCAAGGATTGAACTCAGGACCTCCTGCTTGCAAGGCAGGTGCTTATGCCACTGAGCTAAATCCCCAGCTCCGCTCTGTAATACTTTCATTCTCTTGAATGATTTTATACTATTTTGTTATGTTTGATACTGTTGTATATGAAGGTATGCTCAACTATTTCAAAGAGAGAGACATGGTAGCTACTGTTTTATCGGGTTGTCTTGTGAGATACTGTGTTGCTTAAATTGTTCTGTTCTCATCTGCTTTGTTATGTCCTCTTTTGTGTTAATCGCTTTAAAATAAAAATTAAAAAAAAAATAAAACATGAGGGAGAAACTGGCTCTGCAGAATGAGCATGGGCTGAGTAAGAGAGGGAAAAGTAGGGTAACAGAGCACTGGAGAAAGCAGGGGAAGCTGTCATGAGAAAAGCCAAGATAGCGAGTTAGTTTTTCTTGGCCTTTGTGTCCTTTTACACTGTCCAAATCAACCCAGGAGAACTGCATTTGCTTCCTGAGAGAATGCTGAAATTCCATGCTTCAAGCTGATATCAAGTCCAGACCATCCTAATTCTTGAGTTCTCTCAAGAAGTCCATCCACATGCTGCGCTTTAGAAACTGTTCTGCACTTGTGTTGTGGGATCTTGTATTTAACAGGTCCCTGCCAATTTTGCCTTCCCCTAATCTCCTCTCATATTTACATCTAAATGTCTCCCCACAGCCTCTTCCACAGTGCTCACAGGCAGGACTTTTTGGAAGATATCTAGATTATAGAGGCATTATGGCTAGTTTGCTCTTAGGAGGTGGACTCACAAGAAGGGGATCACTAGGGCATGACCTAGAATGATGTATCTCCCTTCCAACTCTTCTGTTTGTGGTTTCTGTCTGCCATGATACGAGCAGCCTTTCATTCACCCAGCACCTTCAACCATGTGGCCAACCATACAAGGACTAAAACTTTCTTTAGGTTGCAGATGTCATATTTTGTCCCAGTAACAAGGAAAGTGACTAACACATTTTACAGTAAAAAGATGAGCTGGGCATGGTAGCATACACTGGTAATCCCAGTCTTCAGGAGGCTTGAGGCAGAAAGATCTCTGGGTTCAAGGCCAGCCCAGGCTACATACAAGTTCGAGCTACCCTCAACTACATAACAAGACCATGTCTCAAAAAATCAAAATAAAAAATAATCCAGATGCAGGGTACAGCCCTGTGATAATCAGTACTCTGGGAGACTGAGGCAAGAGGATTACAAGTTAAAGACCTGGGCAATTTAGTGACTTAAGACCCCTGTTCCCCCAAAATATTAAGGGCCAAAGATGTAGCTCAGTCAGGGGCCCTAGGTTCAGGTCCCAGTAGTACAGTAAATGTATAGGTATTTTTTAAAAGACAATAACTGGGCATGGTAGCACATGCCTATCATCCCAGTAAGATAAGGCTGAGACAAGAGGATCATGCATTTCAGACCAGCCTGAGCTACACTGTAAGTTCAAGGCCAGCCTGGACTATATAGTGAGACCCTGTTCTCAAAAACCAGTAACAACTGTTGATAAGAATATGGAGAAATTTGAACCCTCATAAATCACTTTTGGGAATGTAAGATGATTGTAGCCATATTGGAAAGTAATCTTTCCAGTTCTCAAAAGGTTAAAACAGAGCTCAGGATGATATTATGGACCTGTAGTCTCAGCATTTAGGAAACTGAAGTAGACGGATTTCTAGAGCCCAAAGCTCAACCAACATGTACAGCACAGCAAGACCCAGTCTAAAAAAGAAAATTAATGAAGTGCTTATAGATGCTACAACATAAATGAACCTCATCTGAAACACAAAGAGTTTGCTGCTGCTTTTCTCTCTCTCTCTTTTGTTTTGTTTTTGTTGTTGTTGTTGTGTGTGTGTGTGAAATGTTCAGAACAGGCAGACTTATAGATACAGACAATCATTGGTTGACTGGATTGCCAGGAGAGAAAGGGGCCTCACTGCTAATAGGAATGGGCTTTCTTTTTAGAGTGAAGAAAATATTCTGGAATTAAATAACGAAGATGATTGTACAGTTTTACGAGTGAGTGAAAAGCGTGGTGTGTCATTACTTCCCTTTAAAATCCTCCACCTGGTTTTCTGAGGCAGTTCCGGAAGTCTTCTTTTGTGAGTGTCTTTAGTTGTGCCATTGTTGCTGCCCTAATGTTCAGAATCAATTTAAAATGTTCAACCTTCATGTCACTTTAACTTTGGGAAGAGCCAGATCTGGTGGATAGATAAGCTGAATAAGGCCACGCTGCAGTATTTTTATGAGCCTGCAGTTCTCTTGGATAGCGTAACTCAGACAGCAACAAAAGAGAACTTCCAGAACTGCTTCAGAAAGAGCCAGGAAATAAGTGTGTTAAAAGTGACAGAGAGGGCCAGGTGTGGTAGTGTATACCTGTAATGCATGCCTTTGGGAGGCCGAGCAGAAGGATTATTGTTTGAGACCAGTCTCAGAAAATGGCAAATTCAAGACCAGTCTGAACTACATAGTAAGACTCTGTCTCAAAAAAAATAAAAAAACTAGGGGAAGCTTCTGAGGAATATAAATGGCAGTGTGTCTGAGTATGTGATTTACGGTATGTGTATTACAACAATTAAAATGTTACCTTTAATTCATTGAAATTTAGAATTTATTTCCTCAGGTAGACTAACCTCATTCCTTGTGCGCTAAGCTACCAAATGTTGCCAGATTGGACAGTGCATGTACAAGGCATTTCAGTCAACATGGGTAGTTCTGTTGGACAGAGCTATTAAAGAATAAACATTTCAAGATTGGGGGTATAACTCATTGATAGAGCACTTGCCTAACATGCATGAGGCCCTGGATATAATCCCCAGTATAGGAAGAAGAAAAGAAAAGAAATACTTGAGCTTCAGATACAGCTTAGTAGTAGAGCACTTACCTAGTATGCTCAAGGTTCGAGTTCAGTTTTTAGCTCTGAAAAAATAAACTTTTGGTTTAATTCATCAGCCATGTCTGATTTTATTAAAGTTGTACAAATGAGGGGCTGGGGATTTAGCTCAGTGGCATAAGTGCCTGCCTTCCAAGTATGTGGTTGTGAGTTCGATTCCCGGTTCCGATAAAAAAGAAAAAGACAAAAAAACAAAAAAAAAGTTGTACAAATGATTCATATAAATTATTATAAAACTTAAAATCTGTAGTAAAAACCCAATTTTCCATATATTTACCGTCTCAGTGCCTTATCCAGAAGTATGTATTGTGATAGTGCTTGCCTATAGTCCCAGCACTAGAGAATTTGGCAAGTTTAAGGCCAGCCTGGGCTGCATAGTGAGTTTAAGAAAGAACTAAGCACTGTCATACTATATATCTTCCCAGACTGTTGAGTACTTTTTATAAGTGTATATGACTATATTTAGATTGTTTTCCATTGCTATTAATAATGTTTCTATGGCAGTATTTTTAAGTAAATTCTTGATTTCCTGGAAACTCCTAGGCATAAATCTCTCACACTTACCTGAGTGCTTCTCTTCCACAGGTGATGCTGGGAGCAGAACTCCCAAAGACCAGAAGGTGAGATTGGGTTGGTAAAGGAGAGTTGAGAGATTGAGTTGAAAATGGATAAAACTAGGCTGGGTGTAGAGGTCAGTACTAGAACACTTTCCAAATATGCAAGAAGCACAGAGTTTAATCCCCAACTCTGCAACAAAGGAAAGAAAAAAGAAAAAGTCAAAATGGATGAAGCTTTTGACTTGAGCATTTGTTTAGTTTAGTCACCAACACATTGACCCTGAGATCAGCCCTGTTAGTTACAGTCCTAACAGACATTACAAGAATGTAAAAGGAAGACGAGATGTAGTGATGCACACCTGTAATCCAGCACTCGAGACTGAGGCAGGATTGCTGCAAGTCACAGGGCAGCCTGTGGGACAGAGTGAGTCCAAAGGCAGCTGCATTGTGTAGCAAAACTGTTTCAAGAAAATAAAAATAAAAAGATAAATTAAGTTAGTTTATTGTAAGCACTGCTAGGAATCTAGCCCGAGGCCTCACATATATCAGGCTAGCACTCAACCACTCCCCCTCAGCCTTTTCAAATTGTTGTTAACCCCTATTACTAAAACTTGTTTCTCTAATTTACTTTCCTATAGCTCCGTGAAGCTATGGCTGCCTTAAGAAAATCAGCTCAAGATGTCCAGAAGTTCATGGATGCTGTGAATAAGAAGACCAATTGTCAGGATCTTCATAAAGGTTAGGGTCAAGGAGTATGTAAGGACAAAGAGATGAATTCTTACAGAGATTTTATGGGTAGAATTGCGATCTCCTTTTCCAATTCTTCTGGTTTCTTTGTTTGTTTGGTTTGATTTTTGGTGATATCAAGGATTGAACTTAACAATTTTGTGCTTACTAAACAGGCGCTTATGCCACTAAGCTAAGTTCCCAGACCTGGTTCCTTCTTTTTTTTTTTTTTTTTTTTTGCTTTTTTCATTTTTATCGGTACCAGGGATCGAACTCACGACTGCCTGCTTTCAAGGCAGGCGCTTATGCCACTGAGGTAAATCCCCAGCCCCAAGTTTCTTTTAATACCATATGCTATATGTCCAAGATCAGTATAAGATTATTTGTGATTTTTGTTTCCCCTGTCTGATGTTTGTTTTGTTGTAATATGCCAGACTCATTGTCCTTATTATTTGTCAAATTCCAATATACAGCAACTGATTTTCTGATCCGTAATAGTGTTATATTCATTTATTCACTAATTTATTATTTTTGTGGCACTGAGGATTGAACCCAGGGCCTTTGCTCTAAGCTACATATCCAACCTCTTTTTATTTTTTAGAGGGTTTCATAAAATTACCCAGGCTTGATTCAAACTTGTGATCCTCCTGCCTCAGCCTTGCAAAGTGCTGGATTATAAGCATGTACCACCATACCAGCTATCTTAGTACCTTTTATTTCCCTACATTTAGGCTATTTACATGCTTTTGAATACTACATCCAGAGAAAAATTAGGAAGAAAAAGGTAATTCAGGCTATTATAAAAAGGTCTGGGAAAAGCTTTATTTGTAGAACAGGGAAAATGTTTTGTAGCATTTAATGAATGGTAGCTACCATTGTTCATAAGGAGTTGTAAACATTGGGGTGAAGTGAGATGCTTTTGAATTGTGTATGAACTTCAGTTATTCAGGTTTCTCCTGTTAGCCTAAACTGTCAAATTTTCTGTCTTGCATTTTTGTCTTTGGCCAGGTGGGAAGCATACTTGACTAATACTGTAACTGGTATATTTACTGTCCTGCTGGCTACACAAACAGTGGCACTTTGCTTTCTTCCATAGGAACCTTCAGTCACATGTCTGGAGAACTGAGCAAAGATGGTGACCTGATAGTCAGCATGCGGATTCTGGGCAAGAAGAGAACGAAGACATGGCACAAAGGCACCCTTATCGCCATCCAGACAGTGGGTATGTTCCAGCTACAGGAAGCACTGATGACAGGCAAACTGTAGGTCTCTTGTTGATTGTTTCTTTTCCCCACAGCCTTTCTTTTATCCATCACATGGCAACTAGGACTTACATAGAAACTGATAGTTTTTTAAAATTTTTTTGTCTTTCCCTTTTACTCAGGGTCAGGAAAGAAATACAAGGTGAAATTTGACAACAAAGGAAAGAGTCTGCTGTCTGGGAACCATATTGCCTATGATTACCACCCTCCTGTTGACAACCTGTATGTGGGCAGTCGAGTGGTAGCCAAATACAAAGATGGGAATCAGGTCTGGCTTTATGCTGGCATTGTAGCTGAGACTCCAAACGTCAAAAACAAGCTCAGGTACCTGGGAGAAGAATTGTAAAGGGAGTAAAGGTTGGGAGCACAACACCTGCCCTATTCATGACAGTCTAGGTTTCACAATTAGCTTTGGAGTTTTTTTGTTTTTCTTGGTACCGGGGATTGAACTCAAAACCTCATGCTTGCCAGGCAGGTAGGTGCTTATGCCACTGAGCCAAACCCCCGACCCAGTTTTGTGTTCTTAATTCCAGTGACCAGAAAACCCTTGTCATAGGTATAAAAGATAATGAGTTAGTATCCCAAGAATTATATGGTGACTTTTCTGCATCCCCAGCGCCTTCTTTTCTCAAAGAGAAAACTAGGAGAGCAATCAGGATTGACGAATGATTGACTGGGGATTTTGACTGTGAGATTCACAGAGAAGGCAGAAAGAAGAGCCTAAGTAGTTGACAGCATGGTAGGAATAGAGGAACAAAAGTGACTTTTTTCAAAATGGGGCTATAGTAGTTAGATGAAGAAAAATTCCTATTCTTTGGGTGAGAAGAAAGAAAATAGACCAGAGTGTTTTCTGTGGGGTGTGTCCAATTATCCAGAGGAATGACTGTGATAAAATAATTTCTATAGATCATGTTAAATATAACGCCCACATTATTTAACTATCACTCTTCCTTCACAGATTTCTCATTTTCTTTGATGATGGCTATGCTTCCTACGTCACACAGTCAGAATTATATCCCATTTGCCGGCCATGTGAGTATTCCTTAGCTCTATCAAGTTTCCTTTTTTGCCTTGTATTTCTTCTTCAGATGCTCAGCTGAAAAGCCCTAGTGTTTTAAGTGTTCTACTCTTAAAGAATGTAAGTTTGATGCTCTTTGGGAGAAGCATTATATGTCCTCCTTTTATGGCTAGGTCTTTGTAACGAGTAAAATACTAGAATGTCATGGCTGATACTGGATAGGTTATTCATATTATAGATGTATTTTGATTTCATTTCTGAGTGATTCAAATTTGAAAAAGTATTACTACTTTCCTAGTCTGATGTTTTACTTGACATTTCTGTAAATCTGTAGTTCACATAATGTTTCCTAAAAAAGCTATGCCAGGCAGAGATTCATAGTGTCTCTACAATTGGCTTGGGGACAGATTCTTAGAAGCAACTGCTTTTAATTGCAGAAGAGTCAACTAACACTGCCACGTTACATATTCAGTAACCCTAAAAAAATCTAAGGAGAGAAGGACAAATTTTCTTACTAATTCCATGGTATCTTGCAATAGCTTTTGTTGGGCTGGGGATGTAGCTCAGTGTGAGGTTCAGTTATCAGTACCAAAAAACACCCAAAACTCCAAAAATGTATTTCTGTCTCCAGTAGCTTTTGTTCACCATTGAACTTATATTAACAAATTAGGAAGGATGTCCTTTTGAATTTTTATAAGGAAAAATGTCCATTTGTATGAATGAGTGAATTATCTATATTTGTTGCTTAATATTTACTTAATTGGTATATACATTTATTTATTAGATTCAGTACGTACGTACTCTTGGTTTTGCTTCCCTTGAGGTTATGATTTCTTTATTTTTTTCTGTATGTCAATTTGAAAAATATTAACTGTGTCCCTGTCACCCTGTTGCCCAGTCACAAAACTACCTGCCCTCTCTCAGCTCTTCTTCTTCCTTGGGACAGTGCAAAAGACTTGGGAGGACATAGAGGACACCTCCTGCCGAGACTTTATAGAGGAGTACATCACTGCCTATCCCAACCGCCCTATGGTGCTTCTAAAGAGTGGCCAGCTTATCAAGACCGAGTGGGAAGGCACCTGGTGGAAGTCCCGAGTTGAGGAGGTGGATGGCAGCCTTGTCAGAATCCTTTTCCTGGTACTGTTTTTCCCTAGGATTTTGGAGGCAGAGTGGGGTTAGAGAGTTGACATAAGAGACAATAATGAGGGCCAGCTGGGTGTGCTGGTGTACGCCTATAACCCCAGGACTCAGGAGGCTGAGGCAGGAGGAACACTGCAAGTCCAGAGCCAGCCTCAGCTATGTAATGAGTTCAAGACCAGTGTGAACTACATAGCAAGATCCTTCTCAAGAAAATAGTAGTAAAATTTTAAAAAATAATGCTGGGCATGGTAGCATGCACCTATAATCCCAACCTTTGGGAGGCTGAGACAAGAGGTTTACTGCAAGTTTGAGGCCAGTCTAGGCTATATAGTTCAAGGTCAGCCTGAATCACATAGGGAAACCCTATCTCCAAAGAATGTAAATTAAAAATAATGTTTTAAAGAAGGGATTTACAAAAAAATTTTTTTAAATAAAGGCTGTAGATGTAGCTTCTTGGTGGAACACTTATATAGCATACTTGAGGTCCTAGGTTTCGTCTCCAGCAGTGCAAAAACGGAAAGTTTATATCGATTAGATAGCTTAACTCTTTCTTACCTTTATATCTGTCCTTACTGCTTTAGTTAATTTTAACATGTGCTTCTTTACTTTTTTTGTTCTTATGCAATTGATTGTTGAAAATTCATGAATTTTATTGTACTACTAGTCTACATGATTTTGGCGCACACACACATATCACGCACACCCTGAACTATTTACATTGTGTGTAAATACAGGGTAAGCAGCTAGTTCCATTTTTCCCATGGGTTTCAGTTTGTGTACAATAATAGGGCAAAGAAGATGACTTAAGGAATTTAAAAAATGGAACTGATGCTCTTAGCACTTAGAATGTTTCTATTGCTACCTTCTATATGCCACCTTCTTTATGATCTTTCAAATTTTGCAGATGAGAACCTGGTATGGTGGCATGCCTCTAATCTAGCACTGAAGAGGCAGAAGCAGGAGGATTGCCTCCTGTGTAAGACCAGCCTGGGCTACACAATGAGATCCTGTCTCCAAAACAAAACAAAATTTGCAAATGAAAAAAGGGCAAGAAATGGGAAGGGTTGAAAAAAATTAAGATACGTTATATACATGTATCAACTCCTCACAATGATTGTTCCCATTGAATACTATAAACATGTACTAATAAAAATTTTTAAAAACAATTCTTTTTAGTGTTAATGAAGATACATAGTTTTCTTTTTTATACTGGTACTACCTTTCATGGAACTTAGCACATAAATATATTGAGTAGATAGGGAATTTGAGGCACATCAGGGAGATTTCCCAGAGATGCTACATTGTCTGTATTCTCCACAAGTAACAGGATAGATTCTAACCATTAACTTATTTCTCCCTGCTCTCCTTTCCTTCCTCTCAGGATGATAAAAGATGTGAATGGATCTATCGAGGCTCTACACGGCTAGAGCCCATGTTTAGCATGAAGACATCCTCAGCCTCTACACTGGAGAAGAAGCAAGGGGGACAGCTCAGGACACGTCCAAATATGGGTATGTCTTAAAATATACCAGGAGAGGGAGAAATGGGTAGACCAGCAAAGGTGATTATATCCAGTGACTTTGTTTACCAGGGTGACACTACCAACCCACTGGAAACAGCACATTCACTCTGAGTTTCCAGTGGTGGTGATGGATTTGTGGTGCTGGCTTAGCTTAGGGAGGTGGTAGTTAGGGTAGGTATGGAGGTGGTAGTTACCTTTGTTAGCCACATAATTGTTAGCCTCTTAGTCTTTCTTTTCTTTTGCTTTCATCTTGGTTTTGATTGTGTCTTTATATTCCTGTTGTACTTTGGTTAGTTTTTCCCACCAACATTAATTGATCACAAAACACATTTTTCAAAATATTTGCAAATTGGAGCCTGGGAGTGTATGTAGCACAAGTGATAAGGTGCTCAGCACAGTGGTGGAGGCCTGGGGTTCAATTCCCAGCAACTCACATAAAAGCCAAAAAAAAAAAAATTTGCAAATTATAACTAATGAAGTAAACTATCTAAGGCAGGAAAATAAAATCCTGATATTTAAGTCAAAACCAGTATATGCTAGCATTCCTTCTCATAGGAGTAAATAATGGGAACTGATGCTCTTGGCACTTAGAATGTTTCTGTTGCCATCTTCTTTATGATCACTAAGTTGCTAGTTCCCTGTCCCCCATTACTGGAGGTTGAAACCAGGGCCTTCACACTGTACATTCCAAACTCGTATTTTTGTTTTGAGACAGAGTCTCACTAAGTTGCCCAGGCTGAGCTCAAACGTGTGAACTGCCTATCTTAGCCTCTCAGAGTACTGGGATTATATGCATACACCACCATAGCTGGCTAAGTTGCTGCTTTTTTAATTGCATAGAAGTTAAGAATCAGGAATGTGAATCAATACAGCTACCACCTTCTCAGTGATTACTTGCCTGTTCCTGTAGGTGCTGTGAGGAGCAAAGGCCCTGTTGTCCAGTATACCCAGGATCTAACAAGCACTGGAACCCAATATAAGCCAGTGGAGCCCCCACAACCTACAGCTCCACCTGCTCCACCTGCCCCACCTGTGTCCCCCCAAGCAGGTGAAAATGAGTGAGTGCTATTCATTCTTTTTTCTTCAGTTTCTTTCATACATTTTCTGCTTCCCTTACTATATGATCTCTTCTCACACCTCCTAGAAGTTTAGAAAGCCAGCTTGCTCAGTCACGGAAGCAGGTAGCCAAAAAGAGCACATCCTTCAGACCAGGATCTGTGGGCTCTGGTCATTCTTCCCCTACATCCCCTGCACTCAATGAAAATATCTCTGGTGGGAAACCTGGGATCAACCAGACATTCAGGTGAGAAAATCTCAGCTTCTGTGGGTGGGCTGACAACACAAACTGTTGATCACTTTCTAGGGCCAGCTTCTTGGCTTCAAGGGACCTTAGGTTATGATGGTGAGGAGTTCAGATTTAAAAGAAAGCTTTCATCTTAAAAGGATAAATACAAAAAAAGATCTGCAGTTGAAACTGGATGCTTAGAAACGTTACCACCAAGAGACATTTGTTAGAACCTGGCACCATCAGTGCTACAATAGAAAGTAGACTCTACTATCTCTTTCCTTGAATCCTAGGCATTAGCACATTTATAGGGTACAAAAATAAAAGGGTTTGGTAGAGACTGGGCAATACCTCCATAATTTACAGATAGAATAAGATATATTGTTCAAATTGCAATTTCTCAATCAATGAAGAGTAACCAGTGAATTTCATTGCCCAGGTTTGATAAAACAAAGGAAGATTCCCATTTTTGTGTCATCTCTAGTTTCAAGAGCACAGTTGTTTGAGCCAGGTTTGGTAGTGCGTTGTAATCCCAGCAATCAGGAGGTGGAGACAGGAAGATAACCACAAGTTTAAGATCAATCTGGGCTATATAGTAAACTCAAGGCCAGCTGACCTACCCAGTGAGACCCTGTCTCAAAAAAAAAAAAAACAACAACAACAACAACACCCACACACACAGTAGTTTGAAAGATGAGAGAAATGGTTTAGTTAGCTGAAGGGTAATTACACAATAGAAGGGCCTTGTTGCCTTCTAATCTGATGTATCCCATTTACAGATCACCTTTAAGCTCAACAACCTCTACCCCCGCACCAGCTGCGCCCCCAGTTCCTCCAGCCCCGCCAGCCTTTCATGGCATGCTGGAACGGGCCCCAGCAGAGCCCTCCTACCGCGCCCCCATGGAAAAGCTTTTCTACTTACCTCATGTCTGCAGCTATACTTGTCTGTCTCGGGTCAGACCTATGAGGAATGAGCAGTACCGAGGCAAAAACCCTCTGTTGGTTCCACTACTGTATGACTTCCGACGGATGACTGCCCGGCGCCGAGTTAACCGCAAAATGGGCTTTCACGTTATCTATAAGACACCTTGTGGCCTCTGCCTTCGGACAATGCAAGAGATTGAACGCTACCTTTTTGAGACTGGATGTGACTTCCTCTTCCTAGAGATGTTCTGTCTGGATCCATACGTTCTAGTGGACCGAAAATTTCAGCCCTATAAGCCTTTTTACTATATTTTGGACATCACCTATGGGAAGGAAGATGTTCCCCTGTCCTGTGTCAATGAGATTGACACAACCCCTCCACCCCAGGTGGCCTATAGCAAGGAACGGATTCCAGGCAAGGGTGTGTTCATTAATACAGGTCCGGAATTTCTGGTTGGCTGTGACTGCAAGGATGGGTGTCGGGACAAGTAAGTTGTGGGAAAACCGCTGCCCCTCCTTCCAACTTTATTATGGTTTCTTTTCCTCTTCCTTCACTTTATATCTGTACTGCTTTCCCCGTTTCTCTTCCACTCACTGCTGGAACTCCTGCCACTGGCCTCTGTGATAGTTAACAGGGAGGAAAAGAGGTCGGAGTGTGACATAGCCTAGTGATACGTGTCTTATATTACTACTGTCTCTAGCTCCTTTTTTTCTGCTTTCCTCCATCATGCTTTCAGTTATTTCTTTGTTTCATTATGTCTGTAATTCTCACTTTTTTTGAGGGGAGTTACTAAAGATTGAATCCAGTGTAGGGTGTGGTTCTGCATACCTCTGATCCTACCCTCAGGAGGCTGAGGCAGGAGGATCATTTCAAGTTCAAGACCAGCCTGGGCTACAAAGTGAGCTCAAGGCCAGCCTGAACTATATAGTAAGATCCCGCCTCAAAAAGGAAAAGGAAAAAAAAAGATTGAATCCAGAAAGCAACAAAGTATATCCCCTGCCCTTATTTTCTATTTTGAGGCAAGGTCTTATTGGATTGCCTAGCCTGGCCTCAAACTTGTAGTCTTCCTGCCTCAGCCTCCTATACAACTGGGATTACAGGCACAGGTCTCTCTTATTCTTTCTCTCTTTTTTTTTCATTTACATATATGAAAGAAGAAAAGAAACTTTTACTACCTTGTCCCTATCCTTTTATTAGTATTTCTATCTCTAAAGAAAGTCTCACAATAAGAAAAAGAAAGGAACAAAAAACTTAAAGCTCTAGCTCTTGTACTGTTGTGTCTTGTACAGATCCAAGTGTGCCTGCCACCAGTTAACTATCCAAGCTACAGCCTGCACTCCAGGAGGCCAAATCAACCCTAATTCTGGCTACCAGTACAAGAGACTTGAAGAGTGTTTACCTACAGGGTGAGTAATCAGGGATAAGGCCACTTCAGAGATTTTTTTTTTTTTTTTAAAGGAGTAAAATTAAACAGAACAAAATAGTACATAAGAAAGCAATGTAAGAGATATAAATTTCAAAGCTAGACGACCTGAGATCTTCACTGTCTATCATATTGTCTCTTTGTTTTCTTCCAAATAGTTGTCCATGTCTTTGCAAACAGAAAATTCATACAAAACCACATAGTATAAAACTGATCCAAACAGAATGAGGAAGGCGATTTAGGTCTTTAAAACCAGACAGTAGGGAAGTCACTAATGACTGTCAGAGTCTCTCTTTCTCTTCAAAATAGCTGTCCATACGCTCATGTATATTGAAGTTCAACAAAACAAAACAGGCAAGGATGAGAGGTTGCTTGGTTTCCCAGCACTCCAGGTCCCAGCATGATATGGGTCCCAGTAAAAGCCGGTGTCTCCTATCCTGGGCTGCTGCAGTCTGCCACGCTTACAGCTGCTCATGGGCGTCCGGGGGCATTTCTTCAAGCTGTTTGTTTCTAATGAATTGACCACTTCACTGCCCAAGTTCTAAAATGGCCAAGAGATCATAAAGACATCTCTTTAGACTCCTGTTTGAAACCAACAGTGTCAGGAAGCTGCCGGCCTTGATTCAAGGTCAGGAGGGGCATATTCTTATTTCCATCAAAAATCTAAAAATTGGAGCTAAAAATAGAATACTCAAGTAAGCATTTTACTAACTGTAATCTTATTTCATCAATACCCAGCATGTTTCTTGGGCATTTCTTAAAGCGAAGACTTAATTTTTTGTTGCAAAAGAAAGATGACCTTGGTTTCATACATATGGGCTGGAGATATAGCTCAATGGTATAGTGCCTGCCTGGCAAGTATAAGGTCCTGAGTTCAATTCCCAGTACCAAAAATTTCTAAACTAGTATAATTTACTCTAGCAAGTGAAATGTTCAGAATGAAAAAGGAGACAGTGACCTGATTATGTAGGGCTTTGTCATTTAGAATAAAGAGTCAGAAGCAAATTCATGATACAAGAGGAAGCTATTGGTAAGTGATCACATCTGCCTTTTTAAGATGACTGTGGCTCCTGGCCAGATGTGTAATTCCAGCATTCAAGAGGCTGAGACACGAGGATCACCACAAGCTTGAGGCCCACTTGGGCTACATATTAAGTTGAAGGTCAGCCTGAACTACATAGTGAGACCCTGTCACACACCTCCAAGAACTTTACTCTGGTTTCTTCATGAAATATAAGTCTTAGGGCAACAAGAGCAGAATTTGGGCAGTGTGATGAAGTACACCTAAAGATACAGTGATACAGTGCCCCTGGATTTAATTCCAATACTCACCCTCACAGAAGAACAAAAGAAAGAGAGAGTGTGGTTAGACTTTATGTCAGAATGGAGGTGACAGTAGAAATGAAAGAGGAGCCAGGCATACACACCTGTAATCCTAGTACTCAGGGGACTGAGACAGGAGGATTGCTGTGAGTTCAGAGCCAACCTGGACTCCATAATGAGTTCAAGACCAGCCCGAACTATGTAAGAACACTTTTTCTCAACAAACAAAAGCCAACACAGCATCAAAAGCAAAAGAAATGAAAGAGGATTAGAATGAAGTGGTAGTGGTGGGACAAACCTGTAATCCTACCACTCTGGGAAGATTTCGACAGGTGGAATGCAAGTTCAACCCAGCATGGGCAATTCAACTACTTACTGAGAACCTGCCTCAAAACAAAATGAGTTGGGAGTGTTTCAGTGCAAAGGCCCTGGGGTCAATTGCCAGTACCAAGAAGAGAAAAAAAAGGATTGGACTGCGAATATAGGATACATTAGGAGATACTGAGAGCTACAGAACTTGATAGGTGGGCAGTGAAGTAAAAGGAAAAGAATGGACGTCCTAAGTTGGTCTATCCGTTTGTCTTTGAACAGTATCCCGTTGTGCACTTCAGGTTGGCCCAGAATGCACTATGGAACCCAGGCTGGCCTCAAACTCCTGGCAGTTCTCCTGCCTCAGCCTCCATAAGTGCTGGGATTACAGATGTGGACCATTATGTTCAGCTTCTACATGCAAGATACCTGTTAAGCAATCCAAATGCAAATGTCAAGAATACAGTTAGATTTCTGGAGCAAAGTACAACAAGGGCCATACATAAAGATCTGGGAGTAATATTTTGAACTTAGATGAGTTCACTTAGAATGTTCTAGAGAAAGGACCCCAGGAGTAAATCCTGAATGCCTCACACTGAGATTGAGCAAAGGAAATAGATTCCCCATGTGAAGCTGAAAAGCCCAAGTCAGGAAAGAAAACAGTGGTTGCGTGGAATAGAGCATGATGAAAAAGTACATGCACAGGTGAACTAACGAAGCTAATGCTTCATATACATAATTAACAAGAGGATGGGGCTAGGGATTTAGCTCAACGGCATAAGTGCCTGCCTTGCAAGCAGGCAGTCGTGAGTTTGATCCCTGGTACCAATAAAAAGGAAAAAGACAAAAAAAAAAAGAGGACAGGAGAAAGGTGTCAATGAAATAATTCAAAATTCCCTGTTTTTGAAGGGTTTGATTCCAGACTGAAAAAGTCCTTGGCCTGGGGTATCATAGAGGACTTGCCTAGCATGTGCAAGGGAGTTAGTTTAGTTCCCAGGTCTACAACAACAATATTGATCCCCACTAAGAGAGAGGATCATGTAAGAAGTAACTGACATATATAGGGAATACAGTGGTGCTTGATCCACAACTTAATTTGTTCTACAGTATTGGAAAAGATGGCCACAGTGGTGTCAGTCACCTAATAGAGTTTGCAAACAAAAACAAAATTTTGCCAAATGTGTGTTTGCCGACCAAATTGTTTCTAAACAAAAGTATTCATGAATGGAAATTCCACTCTGTATTAAATTTTTAAAAATTTATTTCAGGGGCTGGGGGTTTAGCTCAGCGGCATAAGCGCCTGCCTTGAAAGCAGGCAGTCGTGAGTTCGATCCCTGGTACCGATAAAAAAAGAAAAAGACCAAAAAAAAAAAAAAAAGAAAACATCACCATTCATCTTTCTCAAAATACTCCCCATTGAGCTGGGGATTTAGCTCATCAGGTATAAGCGCCTGCCTGGCAAGCACAAGGTCAAGAGTTCGACCCTATACCAAAAAAAAAAAAAGCACCCCCACTTTGGGCACACTTACTTATCCCATTGCTGTTGCTTCTTTCTTTCTTTTTTTCTTTCTTTCTTTCTTTTTCTTTCTTCTTCCTTGCCCCTTTCTGAAGTATTAGAGACCCTTTTAATAGTCAGTGTAACTTATTGAAGACCCCCAAGAAGAGCCTACAATCTCCTACTCAGGTTACAGCATGTGACAAGAAAGAAACAAAAGAGCAAGAGACAAAGTAGAGGGTACATTAGGGATTTTGGGACAACCAGTTACTCTTGGAGAACAGAAGGCCCCAATCTCCAGTTAGCCACCATTTTATTAGCCTATGGGCAGGGGAGCGGGTGATGTGCTTTTCCTGTAACAGGTAGGAGCAATAGTAGAATGGGCAAGTTTATCATCATGAAAGAAAGAAGCCAATAGGGCTGGGGGTTTAGCTCAGAGGCCTAAGTACCTGCCAGGCAAGTGCAAGGTCATGAGTTCAACTTCTGGTACCAAAAGGGAAAAAAAAAGCTAAAGTCCATCCCCGTTTGGGTGTGCTAATCTCATTTACCAGAGGAAGTGGGATTACCACATTGCAAAACTGGTCCATGAGGCAGCCAGGGTAGAGAACCTAGGACAGATACTGTGTCCATTTATAATTCGTAGTCCCTAACATTTCCCCCTTTTTGTTTTCGTAACTGCAGCAGTTGAAACAGCATCAGGCTATAATGACTATCATAGCAACAAACGTATTTTTAAGAGGTCATGTGTGTCACCATCATGCCAGCCTCTTGCACTGTCTTTAGTTATCTCCGTGTCATGGATTTTTTACCCTGCATGGATCTCAGTACTTGGAGTGTCAGCTTTGTTCTAGGGTCATCATCAAGAATGCTTGTAATGGAGGGTCAGAGAACAGTCTCTACTATAGAACTGGACTGTTCCTCTCCTGTGGTCACAGGTTCCAGGCAGGCAGCCATAATGATCCATTGTCTGTTAATACACAAACACCCTTAACCCCATGTTACTAACTGCTCTGGACCATCTCACTTTCTGGTTGAACGTCCTTGTATAAGACTTGAACCCTGGATGTACTTGTCAGATTTGTCCTTTTGCCATTGAAGTTCTGCTGTATTTGCTTTCTGCAACCAAATTTAAAATTTTTAAGGTTACAATTTAGGGTAATGATAACAAGATCTAATTGTGCGTGTGGAGGTAACCATATTCCTCCTTTTTGTTTGTGTAATTGTGTTTTTAAAGAAAGGTGAATATGTGGATCTAAGTAACTGAACTATCTATAATATTCTCCCTCTGAAGAAATATCTTTTAACTGGTTGAAGGAGAATGGTTAGTTACTGGCATAGCTGAAAATTACCATAAGGCATTGGTGATTGGAGCCTTTTTTTCCCTTTATCTAGGATATTATGTCAATATTTTATATATCTTCTGTATACCTGTGTTATTACCCTTAGAAATGCTTACTTAGGTATTAAACATTTCCGACAGTGTCACAAATTTCTTCAATGACATTCCATTAAAAACCAACAAGTTAGGTGAGAGCTTCTTGTGTAATATATCTTACTATATATCTTATATATCTTATTATATCTTTCTGTGGGGTGTTCAATACCAAGTTAAAGTGAGATCTGTAGTAATCAAATTAATCCCTTGCTATTTATCTTCAGGATTTACCTTGGAACCATGTATGGAGCACCTTGGTTTTTTTTTGTCAGTGTCAGCCATCAGTATAAGTCACAGCCTTTGCTAAGCCAGTTGATTTCTTTGAAAGTACGGGAGACTTTTCTCTCCTGGTGACTCTTCATAGGCATACTGTACATTGTTGATTTCTGTCCTCTGTGGTTCATCAGTCTCCCTGGCTAGGAGATGAGTGATCTACCAGAGTTGTAGGATATCACAACAAAGGTTCCCTCATGTTTGGGTCCTTGTTGACCCTGGAGGGCCAGGGTCAAAATATTGGCTGTCCTTTCAGTCCAGTTACCTTTTTTACTTTGGTTTCTAAACCTCAGTTGTTGAACACCAATAAGAGAAAATCAGCGGCGTTAGTGTTGTAGTAAAAGCAGTGAACTTAATTATCATAATTTTATCTGGCTGTCAATCATTTTGAAATATAAAGTATAGCCAGAAGACTGTTACTCTTTACCAGTCATTATTGTAATTGAGTGTTAACATACAACACTTTATAAAGAAAACTTAAGAATAAAAGCTACATAATATTTTAGCATGACAATCATGACTTTTTTATATTTGTCTCTATTTTTGTATAGAATAATAGCCTTAGTCATCTCTATGTATTACAAAAAAAGTTCTCACCTAATTTATTGGTTTTTAATGGAATGCCATTGAAGAAATTTGTGGCATTGTCTGAACTGTTTAATACCTAGGCTTTTCTAAGTGTAATAACACATATAACAAACATCATAGAGGCCCTTTTTAAAAAAAATTTATTTTTTGACAGGCAGTCTCATGTTGGTTTGACATATATCTCTCCTACCAGTAGCTGGAACACAAGAC